GAGGGGGACCGGTCTCGCGCCGAGCTCCCGGGGCTGCGGGCAGGCTCGGAGGTGTGCGGGACCCGATCCAGCGCAGGGCAGGCGCATCCGTGTCCTCGTGGAGCGCCTTTCCGTTTGCCTCACCCGTGCGCTGGGACCCAGGCGTCCGATTTGGATTTGAAGCCTAAAGCTTTTAACATAGCTAAAAAGAAACGTTTGGTGATTAGGATGTAGCATCTCGTGGGGGATTTCTTTAGATAGCCAGGTGTGTATTATTATTCTTTCATTTATTATATAGAAATGGTAGGGTGATAGAAACAAACATTTTCAGGCCACATTCTGACCTGGCATCGTGAGCCACTGAAACCTACTGATTTATCCATGCTGAGAGGCTGACAGCATTTGCTGAGGCTGACAGCATTTGGGGGGAGAGGGGTGTCATATTTTAGGTCTCAGCGTTGTGCCTCCTCTGAAAAAGAGTCACACAGAAATAGCATCCCAAGACTTCACGCTTATTACACCGCAGTGATTTCAGTGTCCCGTGTGCACAGGATTTGCAGAAAAAGGGGGTTCTGTGCCAGGCACAGGAAATAGATGGGCTGTGCTTTTGACCGGCAGCTTTATCCTCTCATCGCGTGTCCTCTGCGTGAAGGGAGCCCTCTCTCTGTGCCTCTTCACGCGGCCGCAGCAGGTCCTGCGCCGCGTTAGGGTGACTCCCCAGCGTGGCCTGTGTCTGCGTGCCCCACTCGGCCGTGCTGCCCCTGCGGAGCGTGAGGCTCTCCTGCTCGTGGGGATACCCTCTGCGGCCAGAGCCACCCATCAGGCGCTACTTCTGAGCAATCGCTGTGCGGGGATGGACTGAAGCGGCATCTCCCCGCGGAGGCCGCTGTGCTCCCCGCAGCCGCAGCCGCAGCGGTGGTCGCGCAGCGCAGGGCGAGCGGCGGGAGCCGCCAAGCGCAAGGGCTGCGCAAGGGCTCCACTGCCACCTGCTGATTGCAAGCTGACAGCGACATCCCTGCGGGAAAGCCACCAGCAGCAGCGTCCGTCCACCTTCTTCAGGTGGAACTTGAATTTTTCCACAGCAAAGACCAGTGGGAAAATGCTAGCGAGATGCACAGGGAGCACCGCGAAAGGGGGAGGCTGGCCCTGCTGCACAGCGTCTCGCCGAAGCTGGTTTCATTAAACTATTAAACATTATGCAACATTTGTACGGCTTAATTACAACTTTTTGAGACGAGCCGAATACAACCTTTTCATGGCAGTAAAACATGACGAGGCATGAAAGATGGTTCAATACCTTTTGCTTAATAGCTTGTTAGGCATGAGGCTGGAGGCCGAGAGCTAGTGACTGCACAACAAGGTGTGAATTATTGCACCATAATTCTCGCCCTGGAGTGTTTTATTGCAATTAATAACTGTTTTCATGTTTTAAATATATTTTCTCACACCGTAAAAAGCAGAAATGGAAAGTACTTGCTAATGGGAGAAATACCAGGAGGACTGGGCGCAGATCACCAGCCGGAGCAACTTCCTTGGTTTTGTGCTATTTCGATCTCCTTTTAAATGATTCTGGAATCCCGTTTGGCTATAAAATGGCGTGGGCCCAAAGCCCTGTTATTTCCCTTTGTTGCAGTAGCTCTCCCTGCAAATCTCTTCAGAGATATTCAGAGTTAGGAAGTAACTCCCATTTATTTTCAGCATATTTTCTCCAAATTCACTTCAGCCACACAAACCGACACATTCTGTTCCCCACGCCAAGCTACTAACTTCTGAGAAATGTATTTCTTTATTTTGAAAGAAGGAAACAGAAGAATGGATTTGGAAAGAATTAGTTGCCTTTCTTCAATAGCCTAGTCCTGTGGCAAATTTGAAATCCTTCCAGTCTAATTTTGGGGTAAACTGAAAGCTGAAGAAAACCAGATATCACAAAAATATAATAGTATTTGAGGCTGCTAATCCATATTTTACTGAAGCGGCTAGAAATGCAAACCTGCTGTATGCTGGGAGCGGAATCGGCCTCTTGGCACTGAAATGGTGCCATGAAAACGCTGCTTCAGTAGTGCATTTCTCCACTTGTTATTAACCAGCTATGAAGGTGATGCTTGGGGTTGTTCAACACAGCCTGCTGAAATGTGTTTATGTAGTACAATATGCTATACTCACATCGCAGGATAGGCCTGGGAAGCAGGTGATCTCCAAAAGCCGGTCTTTGACACCTAACAGTGCACACCTATTCCGTCCATTATCCCATTTCTAGCCAGGACACAGCAGGAAGCTAATCCTAGCAGCGCTAGAGCGAGGAGACTCTATTCTGATGTTGTCTTTCCAGTGTTCAGTAAATCTGCTACAAGGTCCCACTTCCCTTTCTGCGGCTGCTTTTCTTACTGTTTCTTACTTCTTCTTTTCACTCCTGTTCATATGCTTACTGCACCTGGGCTTACTGTTTCTTACTTTTCTTCTTACTGTTACTCATATGTTTATGGCACCTGTTTATGGACCAGCAGCCCACACAAGCTGGGCTAGGTGCAGGACAGAAATATAGCACCTGTCTTGAAGAACAAGCAATGTAAGAAAGAGAGAAAAGTGGTAGAGACAGACAGAGCTTCCCCATCAGGCGAGGGGGGAAAACAGTGGCTGCCTTCCCTCCTTGCAGTCCCAACAGTGGGGCCGGGGGGCACCTCCTCCACCTCCACGCAGACCCCTTCAAAGAGGGAGACTTTTCTCCTCTTCAATGCTAGGGGCAGAGCACTTGAAAGCAGGTGGTAAAACATTTCCCGTCAAAGGGGTTCAGATGCAAACAAAAAAACATCATCAATGTGTGTGAAGTGGCCGAATTCAGCCCGGGGTCCCCAAGGCAGCTCGTCCCGCAGTGGCTTCCGTCATGCCAGCCTCGGCAGAAGGCGCTCCGTGGCGGGAAGAGCGAATGGAGCAATTGCCCCTCCTGGCTCGGAGCGACCCAAGCACACGCTGGGCCTCGAGCACTCCTTGGTCAGTGGCACTGGAATGCGGGAGGAGATGATTTATCCCCGTTTCAGGACTGAAACACGCAGCGTCGCAGCACTGCGGAGCTCCCTCTGCTGCAGCCCATGTGGGATTTACCCTAGCACTACTCCTGCGGACTGGGTTCCTGTTTTCCTGTCATCCTTAATAAAGACTGACCGTACAGTAACAACGAGATGACTTTGTAATTCAGGATATGGTAGGCACTGAGCCTGTCCCTTTATATTTGTTTGTACTAATGTCCAGGGAATCCAATTGGATGTTGCCTTTAAAACAACAGGAGTCAACTGAATTTGCATTTAAGGAAGTCTGCCTGAGGAAAAAAAAAAGGTTAAATATTAATAATATCTGAATTTTAATATGTTGGTCAGAAGAAAAACCTGTAGAAGAATTTAGTTTATTCTGCAAATGACTTTAGTAGTCTTTTTTAAAGGCTAGGACTTTTGTATAAATCTTCCCTTCTAAACAGTTGAGGCAAACAAAATATAAATCTCATCTCCATAAAGCACAACAAAATAATAATTTCCAGATGGCCTTCCTGATGGAAGATCAAAGTCCCTCATTTCAGACTTGGGAGATTTCCCTTCTGTGCTGGTCTCAGTTTTATCAGAATGCAGTTTGTCCAGCATTTGCTTGTTTCACAAGGACAACTATCTAAATGAAGGTGCAAGCAAAAAACTCTCACTATTGAGGAGGAAAATAGTAAAGATGACAGAAAAATATTGTGGGAAGGTGAGAGATGGGGAAAGAAGCTTTCTCACTTTGAGTTACAATAAAACCAGACATTTTGCACATTGAAAAACACTAGTTTCATATGCAAATACTAAATAAGCAAAACAAAGTTGTTTCTACACAGACACATCTGGTTTGGACAAACTCCCTGCCAGGTATCTTTGATTCCATACATGAGCCAAACTAGTCTTGAGGTTAGAAGGTAATAGGTTATTGTTTTGGCCCGTTTAAGTAGATCTCTGTGCATTTTGAGAACTTACTTCGAAGAACCAGAATTTTCTGCGGAAAGCCTGTGCTCGAAGGGTAACTGCTTATTCGCTCCATGGGCTTTATGTACAGGATTTTGTTTCTCAAGTTCACCTTCTGATAGTAGGGTACATTATTCACCATTATATTCCTGTATTTTTTACATAGTTTATACAAAACACACGTTCACTTCATTAAGTCGAAGATTTTCCAAAGATTAAGGGAGTCAAATTCCCCAATCCTGTTCCTGCAATTGGGAATCTGCCTTCCTGGGGAGCCTAATTTTTCTCTTTTTCTCTCTCTCTGCCATACACATAAATGCACACACACCCTCTTCCACCTGCTTTTTCTGTGCTTACATAAAAGCACAGAAGCACTCACAGGTTAGTACTTTTGCATTCTCGGTGCCATGCAAGATATGCCTTTGTGGCAAAAAGTGCTCTGAGCACACAGCCTGAAATACTGACACGTATCAGCAATCAGTAGTCTTTCACCTTGGAAAGCTTAACCTGCTTTCCCCCGGCCACCAGCAATGTGAAATATCAAAAAGCTTCACAAGAAAAATTCAACTGATCAAAACCCACAGAAGCACTAATAATATTTTAGAAAGCATTTCATCTGCACGTCTCTTGACAAAGGGGATTATGGAACTGAAATGTGATTATGTTAGCATTTAAGTTTCTATTGCCACCATGTGGCCTGGTTCACATGTTTTATCATTCAAAGCAGCCTATAGGTCTCTTTCTCATTGCAGACACCAGGCAAGTGCAGCCGTCTCCGCCGTGGTCTTACGACCAGTCCTACCAGTACCTGGGCTCCATCGCGACGCCCTCGGTGCACCCGGCCACGCCGATATCCCCCGGCCGGGCGAGCGGCATGACCTCCCTCACCGCGGAGCTCTCCAGCCGCCTCTCCAGTAAGTGCCTTCAGATCCGCCCTCTGCGCTGGGCCTCACAGCAGCCACGCGGCCGGTTCCCAGGCAAAATGGTTGAAATGTCCTAGGATGCTGCCACGGCTTCTCTCTCGTTGCAGGGAAGGCTACTCTGGGCCCTCCGTGGGCAGTCCGAGCGAGTGGTTTGCTTGGATTTGTGCAGAGTACAGAAATCTGGTCTGGGGCACAACATTGCCAAAACAAACAAAAAAAACCCCACAACTAACCAAACAGACAAAAAAATGGAAAGAACAGCATTAGCCACTTTGAGGATGTATGCAGGTGTAAAAATAGTCGAAAGATTTGGGGAGTTATCATATCTACCATGAAATGAATGCTGCGGATATTTCAGTTCTGTTTCCTTCCCTCCCTGTAAATTCAGAGCAGAGTATGGGGCAGGCACCCTGAGTGCAGGATGGCATCTTTCTAACATTCTAAGTGCTGCACTCTATGGTCATGTTACGTCTTTGCCAAATTGCACTGCAGAGCTTTACAAACCAGCATAAAAATATAGCATAGAAGTGAAAGCTGTCCCCACCGTTTGCACCATGCACAACTGACCATCTGCCAACTCTAACCCCCACATATTGAACCAACATGTGCGTGTTGAACAGCAGGAA